TAACCTCGTAGCGACCAACGAGAAGCGGCAAGCAGTTCCTGGAGATGGAAATCCCGACCCCAACCGCCCGCCCGTGATTCCTGAGAACATCTTCCTCCTCCAATGCTCCGAGGCCGGGTTCCTCGGCGAGTGCCTCTCGTGGGGTGCTCCTCCCGGACGATGCGGTAAGTTTAGATATATGCCGGTGGCCTGAATCACTTAAAGCCTCAATTGCTGATGTAGAATCCCATCTAGTCAACTACTCCAGCTTCAACAAGACCCAGGCTTTCCTTGACAAGTATGAGAATCAGACTACTTCTTTGAGCTCAAACACCGGCGGACTTTGCCAGTTCTACAAGTTCATGTCCGTATCCTCGTAGACTAGTTTTCACTATTTCTCAACTGACATGCAAATAGCAACTGCAACAACAAGGGTGATGACCGTGGTGTTTCGCTTAGCTACAACTACAACCTCGCTGTGGCAGATGACCAGGGCTACTCGGGAGACTATGACAACCAGATCAGCTCTTGTAAGTGTTGACGAAAACACGGACCAGCTTTTCGAGTGTTTGCTGACAACTGCTGTAGGGAGATGTTGAATCCCTCAATGGAGTGAGATGGTCGTGCAGTATGAGAAATGACGACGGCCATGGCTCTCGGGCTGAGCTTGTGTGTATATGAACTGACTTGCGCGTTGACGCGAAGCAATAAACATGATTGAAACGAACGTTCCTGTGGGTTGTTGACTAGTGGACACGAAGCCGATGTAGCAGGCCACTCTGTGTTGTGAGCCAGCCAACGTAGCACATGGTGTTTGGCTTCTCAGAGTCTGGCAATATGGCATGATGTAACAAATGAAACACGTAAGTAGGGGGGCGACAAGATCGTTGGAAGAGGCGGACTTGCCACGAAGTTTCACTTCCTCTTGCAATTTATTCCTCTTTTCTTCTTGTTGCTCGCTTTGATGAGAAACTCCAAAATCTCTATCATGCGAGTAATGGAAACTAGTAGATGGCAACTGTATAGTGTTCTTTAAATATAAAGTAGTATTCTCTATGGAAATGCGGTACGATAACACGTCTAGTAGTACCGGGAGAACTGTCTAACGTGTCTCTTCCTGAATTTGGTGTCCTCAGTGGTGTTGTTGATGCTAGCCGCCAGGGCAGCATCCAGCTCAGTGACAACACCCGTGTCAACCGGCTTGCCCAAGTTCTCCGACATAGGTCTAACAACGTCGCAACGCAAGGCTTGAGCAGTGCTCATTCTCTCCATGTGAGTGTTGTTCGTCTGCACAAAAAGACGCTCACGGCCCTCAAGACCAGTGAATGGTCTCCACTCGGCAGCACCCTTTTCGCGATCGGTGTTGGGGTCCAGGTTGCGGATGAACGAGACCCAGTACTTGCGGAACTGCGAGATGATGGGCTTGTTGATGGTGAAGTACGACTCGGGCGCTTGGCCATCGGTCCTGTTGTTGCCCCAGAAGGCGTAGGTGTTCACAGTGTGGTACGCGCCGAAACCTTCGGCCTCGTTCTTGGGGTCCTGGACGGCGAACTTGTAGTTGTAGGTGATGGCTTCGTCGCGGGCCAGGTAGTTCTGGATGTTGCGGATAATGCAGTGGTTACCAATGTCACCGATCGCGTCGGCGGTCTGCCTCCACTTGGTTCCGGAGTCGGGGTAGACGGTGCGAGGAGTGTTGATGTACAGGTCGTCAAGGATGGCGAGCGAGGCGTTGGACAGGGAGGGATCTTGTCCTAGGAGCCAAGTGTTGGCTTCCTCGGTAGAGTTGGTAGATTGAGGAGCAGAGTACATGGTTCCCTCCTGAGCGCAAGAACCCCAGATGGTAGGGACCTTGTTGTACTTGCCTTGCTTGAAGAGGTTGACCATGCTGTCGGTGAAGAGCTCGCCATCGATGCCCGGGTTGAACCAGCAGCTTGAAGAACGGACTTCAGACTGGTTCAAGGCGCGAAGGCAGGTGAGAGAGTCGGCGGCCTCGGTGCAGTTCTTCTCCTTGACGAGGCAGTCATACTGGCCCTGTCCCTGCTCCATGGTGCGCATCGTAACCCAGCCACCAGACTCCGCGATACCTCCTGCAAAGAGCTGCTTGCTGCCGAGATCGGCAGTCATGAGAAGACCGACAGCTGAGCCGCCGGCACTGACACCGTCAAGAACAACCTGCTCAGGGTTTCCGCCAAAGTGGCCGATGTTGGTCTGAACCCACTCAAGAGCCTTCACCATATCCTTGACTCCGGCGTTGAGACCGCCGCTAGCGCGGACCTCCTCGCCCTGTAGGAAGCCATACATGCCAACTCTGTAGTTGATTTGAACGACAATGACGTTTCCATCCGAAGCAATCTCGCTGGCATCCCAGTTTGCGTTCGAGTTGGACCCAAATCCACCGCCCTGGAGGAAGAAGACAACGGGCAGTCTAGAGTCGGTCTGCGCATCTGAGGGGGCTGTGACACTCAGGTAGAGACAGTCCTCATCGACGGTGAAGCGCGGATTGGTGCTGGAAACGGTCCAATCGGTGGGCTGTTGGGGAGGGCAGATGGGACCGTGTGCCGTGGCGTTGACAAGTCCAGACTGGACCGGGTCGGCCGGCGCGGCGAAGCGGAGGTCGCCGACCGGAGGGGCAGCAAACTGGATTCCCTTCCAAGTTGTCACGCCCAGCTCAGCGTCAGTCACGGCGCCTTGAAACTTGGCGTATCCGACATCAACGAGGGTGTCAACGGCCTGGACACCGGAGGCGAAGAAACCCGCTGCGGTGAGGATAAAAGCCAAGTGCGATCCCTGCCACATCTTGTTGGTAAGTCTGGGGTTTTTAGTGGTGAAATGAATGTAGTCGAGGAAATCTCGAGGAAAGAATGGAACGGTTTGCAAAGCGACCTTAGAGAAAAGAATGAAAGTAGTGCAAGCACTTGCGAAGGAGAAGTCGAAAGATAGATGAGAAGTCAGTCAGGATTATTTCAATTCCATCACGGACGTCTATACTCCGGCGGTTATATACATCTTGTATGCAGACTCTTCAGCCTATTCCAACATCTCCTTGCTCTAGATCTGGAGGCTTGACAGCCCCGAAAGGTCATGTCTACAGTGCTACTGTACGCTTTCGAGTCAGGTCTCCGCTCTCTAATTGAAACGCTGCGGACGGTAGCGCTCCTTGGAGCTAGCACGCCACGGAGCAGTCCGTAATGCCACCCCACTACAGCGGAAGTTTAATAGATGGGACGAACCTTAGATCTTCGCCTGATTGCTAGAGAATCACCACCCCTGAGCGGCCACGAAGTTGAGAACTGAGGTACTGTGGCTTAGTAGATTACTTATCCTCTCAAACACCAAAGACTTATAGCGGCCAAAAATGTGATGAGCGCCGTGAACGCACTATCGTCTTCACCATTGGGCCAGCAACAATGACTTCACCTATCAGACAAAGTCCGAGATCTCTAAATTGACAACTAGAGTTTCACGTTAATGCCGACCACTATGTACCTTCACTAAGAGTACGTACGATTGCGAACCCGAATGCTCGGAACAACCTATGGATGGTATCGTCTAGGGGCGGAGAGTGGGAGGTGGGTTCTGATGGAGAGTGGAATGCCAAGATAGCATAGATGAAACGTAGTCGCATCTGCCAGCACTTTTATACAGCGGTCCTCGCACCTTAAGTGAAGTCTGAGACCCCAAAGGCACAGGGCTGCGGACTGTTCCGCCGCTGGAATTGACGATTCGACGAGGAATCCAACACTTGACCGTCTACGTCTACGTACAGGCAGAGGTTGTCGCCAAGCATCGTTACGTTGGAACAGTGGCGCAAACTCTGTCGGACCTACTGCTCGAATCCGGTGGCTGCTGGATGTGAGTTAATCACAGAACCAGGCCTATTCTCTCGCGCCTGCGATTCCCTGGACTCTATGATCTCCAGTACAACTTGCTATTCAATCGATTCCGCTGTGAGCTCAGGCTCTGGAACTTCGTTCTCGCTTACCAAGTCACCCCTGAGGCCACACCCCCGTTAAGCTTAATCACTTCTCGACTCAGGATGGTCAACCGGCCTTTGAAAGAGAGATTAGAATCAATCATTCTGCGGGGCCGCAGTCGTACTTGCTTCCACCTGATTGGCAGCTAGGCATCATCCGTGGACGGACCTTGTTCCGTAACGCGTACTCACAAAAGCAGCCCCTAAACTCATTTGATGGGAGAGGCGGCAGAGACAACAGGTGAGGCTTTGGCAGAACCGACGCGCAGTTGACTGAAGCAGCATGCGCTGAATGAGCGGTGAGCACTTGGCTTTGGCTACGAGTTTGCGGCATTCCTTTGATACGGCTGCCGCTGTTCGTAACACAGTCAAGCAAGGGAGACCAGCATTTCGTACCCATTACACAGGCCCATAACAGTATTGATGACGCCTGAGACACATGGTAAAGTAGATTCGATTCTCTGGAGATGAAACCTGGCCTTGCAATGGGCTCCGCCTTTGGCCGCTTGATTGAATTTGTTGTCTGACGGGCAGCAATGGCTGACGAATGGATCTGAATCTGTTGCGGTGTTCGTTTGTGTTCAGTGTTGAGGATTGTTGAAAAGAAGCAAGAAACGAACAGAGTCTGATACGCGCAGACTAATTTACCAGAATCCTCCTTTGACGCGGCTACAGGGAGGCATCCTCACAAAGTCTTTGAGTGGGCAGCCCGTGATGCAGACAAACTTCAATGATATAAGCGATAAGCCTGCCATGTTGCACGGCAGTGCTCAATGGATCCTCTCTTCCACCATCATCATCCGCGTGCTACATTGGCACATCTTGTGTTTGCATCGTTCAGTATTTCGGTCTTGGCGGTCATGTGGGAAGGTTGTCAATGCTGGCTGTTCGCCTGCCTATTTGCTGGCTATCCAACCAAGCCATACACAATGTCGAAAATCACACATAAGCGCATTCGTCTCACTCACGAAGATTGATGCTTCAAAGACATCGCCTCAACTCGCCAAAGCTATCCCAGAGTTTTCGAATCGAACTTGCCCTACCCAAAATGGCTATCCTTCACCTCCTGACTCTCGGCCTCACCGCAGCTGCGATGGCATCTCCAGCCCCATCCAACGACGCAACACCCACAGACCCAAAGGAGGCCCTCGTTAGAAAGAACGACTGGGACAATTATCTCAAATACAAGGCTAGCTTGGGCACTCAGGCTTCCGGCCAGGCAGCTGTGCAACGCATATGCGACCTGGTTCTCTGCCTGGGTCCAAATCACACCGGGGAATGCAGCCTTTGGTGCCACTACAAAGGAAAGCTTCAGAGCTTTGAAGAAGCGAAGCAGCGAGAGATCACAATGTCGACATATTTCACAAAGTCCGATCGTTGTAATTTCTACGCGTATGTTGTGTTTAGGCCCTTACAGCACCAAGCCATGAATCAGAGAGCTGACTATGGAATGCAACCTGACTAGTTCTGGTGCGAAGAAGTGTGACATACCAACCTTGATGAGCCAGGATACCTTCCACCAGCTCATTTATCACGGAGGGGTTATACCTGAGGGTAATTTCATGGATGGACTGAAGGGAAAGATGGGATGCGTGGTCTGCTCCGACGATCCCAACCTGCATCCTGATTCGGTGCTTTGAGAGACCGAAGACCGGTTAGGATGGTGCTGAAAGGTCCTGTAAATGTTGGTGTCTACTCTAAGCTATGAAAGTATGAAAAGACGAATAGTTCGCATGAAAACTAAGAATAATGAGAAAATTGATGGTGCCACCTTGACATGATATTTAGCAGGATTAATAGTCGCTTGGCTTGAATGCGGTATCTAGGGTTCCGAAGCTTGGATGTTGAGACTGGGTTTGCACGCCTGGCGTAACGGCATGCACGCTACCTGCTACAGAAGGTGACCGCATTACGTAGAAAGGTTCGTGAACCTGTTCCACACGGAGACTGGTCAAGTCGGCTACTAAAGAGCCCGGGAAAGTGATTCTCGGCCCCGGGACTCCCAGGCCGATCCAGAGCTTCGTTGCCGTGGAACTTGTGCCACGGCGAGAGCAACGCCCCGCCGCGCTCCACCGTTGCGGGGATCATCTGAAGATGATTTCTAATACATGCGTCATCCTTCAGGTCTCGAAGGGCTGTTTTTCGCCTCGTCGAGATCTCAAAAGCAAAGCAAGAACCAAGTGAAGTGTGAGACGTCACGGATACATCCAAATAGAAGGTACAGAGACGACGACAAGCAATTATGAGCACGCAAGTCCAACGCTGGCAGACCCGTCAAGACGGGCTGGGCAAGCTCTTCCTCGCCACGGCGTCCCTGCCGCAGCCCGGGCCCGGCGAGGTGCTCGTCAAGATCAGCGCCGTGTCTCTCAACTACCGAGACACGGAGGTGGCCATGGGCCTCTACAACCACCACAAGACAATCAACCCGGCCGAGACGGACCCAATCGTCCCGGCTTCGGACATGTGCGGCTCCGTCGTCTCTGTAGGTGACGGCGTCAGCAGGTGGAAGGCTGGCGATCGCGTCTTGTCGATTTTCAATCAGACGCATCTCAAGGGCCAGATTAAGCCGGTGGATATGAAGAGCGGTCTCGGTTTCCCGCTGGAAGGTGTCTTGCAGACGTACCGCGTCTTCTCTGCTGAGGGGTTGGTCAGGGCGCCCAAGCACCTGAGCGACGAAGAGGCCGCGACTCTTCCCATTGCTGCTGTGACGGCTTGGATGTCAATCAACCAGTTTCGGCCTTTGGGCCAGCCTGGTGGCCAGGGCGAGGTTGTGGTATGTCAGGGAACTGGTGGTGTAGCTATTTCGGGACTGCAAATCGCAAAGGCTTCAGGGGCCACGGGTAAGTGATGGACGCGCCCAGGGCTAACGGCTTTGTTGATTGCCGCTGACAATGATCTCGATAAGTCATCATTACATCTTCCTCGGACGAGAAATTGGAAAAGGCAAAGGCTCTCGGGGCGGATTACACCGTCAACTACCGCACCACGCCCAACTGGGACGACAAAGTCAACGAATTTACCAAGGGCGAGGGCGCCAACCTCATCCTCGAAACGGGCGGGGCCAAGACGCTGCGACAATCTTTTGAGGCGATTGGCTTCGGCGGGCAGATTGCGTGCATTGGATATCTCTCTGGTAAAGTCGACGATGTGGAGGACCGGACGAACGTCAACTTGCTCGCGCTCAAGAAAACTGTAACGCTCAAGGGTATCATCAATGGTCCGAGGGAGCGGTTCGAGGAGATGATTGACTTTTACGAGGAGAAGGGTATCAAGCCTGTTGTCGACCGGGTCTTCCAGTTCAAGGAGGCGGATAAGGCGTACAACTACCTGTACAGCGGAGGACACTTTGGCAAGGTTGTCGTCAAGGTCCAGGAATGAGCGTAACATTGAAGCTATGGCCAGATATCCGTACGATCTATTGAGATGAACTCATGGCTTTCATGCGGAATTAAGAAGACTGACGAGAGTGGCATAGTGTAATGAGAATACGGGGTTGACAGCTCGGTGGGCCGAGGCATGTCCCGCAAGCCGATGGACTCGGACAATGATACCCCGCACCGGGGAAGCAGAAGAAGCATGGGGAAGTCAGGGACCCTGAGCTGTTTAGCTGACTCGGGGGCTGTCAGAATCCCCTGCAACTCGCCCGTTGCAGCTGTGTGTCGCCGGATGCGATGGTACAGCAGCTCATCTCACTCAATTGGAACTCACATGTCAGCTGTGCGTCTCGTCAGCTTAGTGAGCTTCGTTGGCTTCACTGTGAACCTCATCTCATGCTTCACCTCACTCTCTCACTCTCACTCTCATTCGTCTACTCAGTGAGCACATCACTCATCTCCCCACCTTGTGCTTCGTATCACAAAACATCTCCATCTCACAGAAAAGCAATCAAATAATCTTTCCGATCCTCAAGCACCATTCCCTGAGCTCCCGCGTGCCGGAACAGACGGCGTCGCAGATCGGTCTTCCGCGGACTTTGCCCCCCTGCGCCTCAATTCACGCCGTCGGACCAGAACAGTGAAGCACCCAAGCTCCAAGAGGCAGATAGAAACCGTGGGATCCCCCCCGCAGCCGAGAACATCATCCCACCACATACATACACGTTCGTGCCTCTTTCTAGCAGGTCGTAACACCATAAGCCAATCTGCGAGCTCTGGGAACACAGCTCCATTCGGCCGGGACATCTCTTTTCAGTCTTCAGTGACCCGAGAATCAGGCAATTCGTCCGCCCAGCCCGCCAAGATACTACCTTGACATCCCGACCAACCCACCCCTGGACCACCCATCTCACCTGGTCTACCGTATTCATTCCTTCATAAAGCTGACAGACAGCCCGTCTTCCCTCCTCTGCAAACACTCAAACTCACAAAAGGGCCATGGCGCCTCAACTGCAAAACGTGCGCGACATCTTCCCCCTCCCCCAAACACCAACCCAAACCCTCGCCACCCTCGCCGGCCTAGGCGCCTCCGCCTGGCTCCTCAAGCTCATCGTCCGCCACATCCTCCTCCGCAGTCCCGCGAAACCCTCACACGGCTCTCCTTCCACAGCGGGTCCGACTTTCGCCGCAATGAGCGCAGACAAGAAGAAGGAACTCCTCGAGCGGCCCGCCATCATCGTCGGCGGCGGTCTAGCGGGCCTCGTCGCGGCGTTCGAGCTCTCGGAGCGCGGCGTGCCGACCATCATCATCGACCAGGAAAACGAGGCGAACCTCGGCGGCCAGGCCTTCTGGTCGCTCGGCGGCATCTTCTGCGTGGACTCGACGGAGCAACGAAGGATGGGCATCAAGGATTCGAGGGAGCTCGCTATGCGGGACTGGTTCGGCTCCGCGCAGTTTGACCGCGAGAAGGAGGATACCTGGCCGAGGAGGTGGGCCGAGGCCTTTGTCAACTTCGCCTCGGACGAGATGGAGCAGTACGTCAAGGCCAGGGGCATGGGCTTCCTCTTCAACGTCGGCTGGGCTGAGAGAGGCGCGGGTATGGCCGAGGGACACGGCAACTCGGTGCCGCGGTTCCACGTTACCTGGGGCACGGGGCCGGAGGTCGTGAGGGTGTTTGAGGAGCCCGTGAGGCGCGCGGCCAAGAACGGTGTCGTGCAGTTCCGGTTCCGACACCGCGTTGACGAGATCATCACCGACGAGACGGGTCGCGCCATCGGTGTTCGTGGAAAGGTCCTCGCCCCCGACGACTCTGCGCGCGGCGTCAAGTCCAACCGTGACATCGCAGGTGATTTCGAGATATTCGGGTCCGCGGTGGCGGTAACATCCGGCGGTATCGGAGGAAACGTTGAAGCCGTGAAAGCAGCGTGGCCCATCGACCGTCTCGGGCCCAAAGTCCCCGAGAACTTCGTCGTCGGCGTCCCAGCCCACGTCGACGGTCGCATGATTGGTATCGCGGAGACAGTCGGCGCCAACGTCATCAACCGCGACCGCATGTGGCACTACACCGAAGGCCTGCAAAATTGGAACCCAATCTGGCCCAACCACGGCATCCGCGTCCTCCCGGCCCCGAGCTCGTTGTGGCTCGACGCGACGGGCAAGCGTCTCCCGCCCTTCCTCTTCCCCGGCACCGACACCCTCGGCACGCTGAAGCACATCTGCGCCACGGGGTACGACTACACCTGGTTCATCCTCGACCAGAGCATCATCGCGCGCGAGTTTGCGCTCTCTGGCTCGGAGCAGAACCCGGACGTCACAGGCAAGAGCATGTGGCAGCTCCTCACGCGCGTGTTCGGCAAGAAAGGCACCGTCCCCGTGCAGAATTTCCAAAAGTACGGCAAGGACTTTGTCGTCAAAGATAACCTCGCCGACCTGGTGCAGGGCATGAACGAGCTGCAGCGCGAGCGCGGCGGGCCGGTGCTGAGCCTGGAGGACATCAAGGAGACGATTGAGATCCGCGACGGGCAGTTTGATAACGCCTACTCCAAGGACGCGCAGGCCATGCTCATCAATAATGGACGGACGTACTGGGCTGATAAGAGGAGTCGCATCGCGCCGCCGCATAAGCTGTTGGATCCCAAGCATGGTCCGCTGATCGCCGTGCGGATGAATTTGTTGACGCGCAAGACGCTGGGCGGTATTGAGACAAATCTAGAGAGTAACGTCATGAAGGCGGATGGGGAGAAGTTCCCTGGTCTGTATGCGGCCGGTGAGGCAGCAGGCTTCGGCGGCGGTGGTGTTCACGGATACAACAGCTTAGAGGGCACGTTCTTGGGAGGCTGCATCTTTTCCGGAAGGGCAGCGGGACGCGGGATGGCGGATGAGCTCTTGGGGCCAGCGGAGGCGAAGGGACCAAAGTCGTACTTGTGATTGTCAAAGGATGAAGTGTAGCAGATGTATGTAATGAATGAAAAGGGCGCGATGGACGTCTTGGGTTGTCGACATTCAAACTTGAGTGGATATCATTACTATCAAACATTTGGTATGGTAAAGCTTTCATGAGTCTGGACCCTTCAGGAAGGCCGACGTTCGCACTCTCTCCATCTTGACTTCCGTCGTCACTCGGATCTGGCCCTGCCTGGCCCATTCTCCGCCGACCAAATCATCCGACTTTCGCACCTCGACAGTCATGCCTGATGCTGGCGATCGTATCCCTCCGGCGTATCCACGCTCCTCGTCCCCTCCCATATCACTTTCCGTGTCTACCGTCTGCTTCTTCGATCGTGCGGTGAGCTCCACCTCGTCATCGCCGCGTCGCGGTTGTGTGTGGTTCTTTGAGTTGGTCACTTTGGACATGGAGTTGCTGGCTTGTGATATCGTCTTGCGGACCATGGACTTGAGCCATGGCGGTGTGTAGTGTGAGATCATTGGTCGCAGGTGGGGGAGACATGCGGCGATGATGTAGGTTCCTGTTTCGATGATACTCCAGCCGACGAGACCGACGGATGCCCCTAGTCGGAGTGTCAGTCAACTTGCGCATCTTCAAGAGTCACTACCAGGTATTACTTACATGTACGGTCCGAAAAGGCAGAGTTGCTAAAGAATATGACGGCCCTGATGATACTGGCAACAATGCCGCTGCGAAATCGTCAGTCTCGGTGACACCTTCCGCTCTCGCCCAACGCGGAATAAACTTACAAACTGCCGATCATGAAGATGCCGATGAGTGCGACGCGCTTGTGCGTCGGCAGCTTCAGGTCCCAAATAGTCTTGAGCGGTAAAGTCATGATGAAAAAGTCCAGCACGAAGCCCGGAATGCTCTGTGCATGGAAGAAGGCCTGAACGTCGACACACTTTCCGCCTGGAATCGTCCGGTCCCACCAGAATTCAATGGGCTGGCACTGGAAGCAAGCAGTGATGATGAAGGAGAAGCTCGTCGCGGCCAGCGTCACCAGCAGCACGTAGGCCGTGGTTCGCATAGCCCCCTTCCAGTTGAAGACGCGCAGGTACAGGCAGACGATGCCCATCTTGGGCAGCGCGACTGAGGTGAAGTAGATGATCTCAAACGCGAGGATGCACTTCGCCCACCCGGTCAGGAGGGCTGGGTGAAACTCCTCGACAAATTCAACGTGTCGTCCAACACCGCCGACCTTAACCATGACTGACGAGTACAGAGTTAGTCGAGAGTTCGGACCTCGAAACCCACGCCATTTCCACGCTGGGCAGAAAACCTACCGATGCCGACGGCGCACATCCCCAAGTCCACCACATAGGCTGCCGCCAGGAAATAGTCGTCCAAGCCATACCCGCCAGCAGTAAACCGTTTTGCAAATAGTCGCAGGCCGAGGAAAAAGGTCGTGAGGACGGCAAAGGCGATGGATATGCCTATTAGCGTGCCGCCAGAATCTTCCGCGAGATATTCGGCCGTTACGTTGTGTGTAGTTTCGCCTTCGGCGGCCAAGACGAGGCCGGACATTGTGAGTCGTCGAGGGCAAGCTGAGCCGATCCACGGCCAAGAAACGACAGGATCATGAATCCCTTCTCTCCCTCGCTGTGAGAAAGAAACGAACCTAGAGGTCAAAAAAGAATATTAATATCGCAAAACCCGCCGCAGCCCTATCTTGGCGGTTTGCGGGACCCCTCTTTCTTTAATAACTCCCGACTTGGCACGTCCCCAGGTGCCCCATTGTGTGATGGCGAAAGGGGGGGAGGGTCCGGAGGGAGGCAGAAAAGAAGAATCTGATAATGGCCGGGGGGTTGAACATTAAGATCTCCAGCGGCATGATCAGGTCATGGCCAAGAATCAAAGGCCATCTGCCGTGAGTGGTCGGCGACAGGCAAAACAGGGTTATATTTGCGCCTCCTTTTTGGCCCTTTACCCAACTTTTGTGGTAATGGTTTCCACCATGCCGCATCCTAAACGTGCGGAGAACGTATTCTCGGGGCTCATACTTGCCGGTGCGTCCCATTGTCGGACGCTAAAGCTGGCTAAAGTTGGCCTGGTTG